AAAGTACACTCAAGTGAAATTATTGTATTTATCACACACTCTTAGAAAAAAGGTTTCCAAAAGGGTTCTTCGGCTGTCCCTATAGGATAACCCTTTTGGCTTACAGGTAGAACCCTTTTTGGTTCCAAGTAGAACCCTTTCGGGTTCCATGTAGAACCATCTGTGGAAAGGGTTCTACCTGGATCCAAAAGCGTTCTACCTGGAACCAAAAAGGGTTCTTCAAAGGGTTCTCCTATGGGGACAGCCGAAGAACACTTTCAGGTTCTAGATAGCATATATTTTTACTGAGTGTAGTGATTAAGGACTAACATTAAAACACAGTACATTAGACAACTATACAGAAACCCCCAACATTTATGAAATAAATTGATCAAATCAATGATGAGAGAATAGTGGGATTAACTGATAATTGACACAGACATGGTCGAATAGCAGGAAGATCTGTCACGTTCGTTGAAGGACGGGTCAGACCAAGGCATAGCGTGATATGCGTACATGTTTATTAACGTAATAAACAACACGACAAAACAACAAAGGAAACGAAACGTGAAGTCCAAGGTAGTACAGAACAACAAACCTTACACGAAACAGACATACTAGATCATACAGACATACTAGATCCTCATACATAGAACAAGCACAACAAGGAATATACACACCCTGACTCAACATCTAAGCGTCCCAGTACCCCCCCCCAAAGGTGCGGACTCCGACCGCACAACATAAACATAACAGGGTAGGGGCCGGGTGGGCATTCCGCCTCGGAGGCGGATCCGGCTCGGGGCGTGATGACCTCTCACTCTCCGCCTCCCTGTTGCGCCCCTGGTCTGGTCGCTTCCCCTCTCCTTCCTCCCACGATACGCCAGGCCCTGTCTGGACCCTGGTGTGGGAGACCCCGAACATGGACAGGGGCTGACATGGTCTGGACTGGAGCCACTGACCGGAGCTGGACTAGGCACCGGTGGAGCGGACTGCTCTGGCTCCGGAGTGGAGCCGCTGACCGGAGCTGGATCAGGCACCGGTGGCGCGGACTGCTCTGGCTCCGGAATGGAACGGCTGACCGGAACTGGATCAGGCACCGGTGGAGCGGACTGCTCTGTCTCCGGAGTGGAGCAGCTGACCGGTGCCGGACCAGGCACCGGTGGAACGGGCACGGGCCGGACCGAACTAGGAACACGCACCACTGGCTTGGTGCGAGGGACAGGAACAGGCCGGGCTGGCGACGTGCACCACTGGCTTGGTGCGAGGAGCAGGAACAGGCCGGGCCAGACCGGCGACGCGCACCACTGGCTTGGTGCGAGGAGCAGGAACAGGCCGGGCCGGACTGGCGACGCGCACCACAGGCTTGGTGCGAGGAGCAGGAACAGGCCGGGCCGGGCTGGCGACGCGCACCACTGGCTTGGTGCGAGGAGCAGGAACAGGCCGGGCAGGACTGGCGACGTGCACCACTGGCTTGGTGCGGGTAGCAGGAACGGGCCGGACCGGACTGGCGACACGCACCACTTGCTTGGTGCGAGGAGCAGGAACAGGCCGGGCCAGACTGGCGACGCGCACCACTGGCTTGGTGCGAGGAGCAGGAACAGGCCGGGCAGGACTGGCGACGTGCACCACTGGCTTGGTGCGGGTAGCAGGAACGGGCCGGACCGGACTGGCGACACGCACCACTTGCTTGGTGCGAGGAGCAGGAACAGGCCGGGCCAGACTGGCGACGCGCACCACTGGCTTGGTGCGAGGAGCAGGAACAGGCCGGGCAGGACTGGCGACGTGCACCACTGGCTTGGTGCGGGTAGCAGGAACGGGCCGGACCGGACTGGCGACACGCACCACTTGCTTGGTGCGAGGAGCAGGACTGGGTTCCTTTATTAACCCCCGCTCCTTCTGCTGCCTAACCGGCTCCTCTCGCCGTGCCTCTACTCTTTCCTTCTCCCTTTTAGCCTGCTGTAGCACCTCCCTCTGACCGAATAACTCCTGCTCCCTCTGAACCAATAGCCCCCGTAACATGGTGGCCTCCTCTCCTAACCTGCAGATCCGCCCTTTAACGGCCTCCTGCTGCCTCGTCGTCCACACCGTGTGACCCCCAAAAAATGTTATTGGGGTTGCCTCTCGGGTCTCCGACGTCGGCACTGTTGGCGCCGTTTCTCCTCTCCTACCTGGGCATCCTCCTTCATCGCCCTCCGATAACGGACGGCCTCCTCCTCCGTAATTCTCCCCCAACCGAGGAGGACATCTACTAACGTAACCTCCTGTTGAGTCCCAGGCGTTTGCTCCTTCTCGGCACGCTGCTTGGTCCTTGTTTGGTGGGATCTTCTGTCACGTTCGTTGAAGGACGGGTCAGACCAAGGCGCAGCGTGATATGCGTACATGTTTATTAACGTAATAAACAACACGACAAAACAACAAAGGAAACGAAACGTGAAGTCCAAGGTAGTACAGAACAACAAACCTTACACGGAACAAGATCCCATAATTAGACAGTGCCAATAGGCTGCTTAAGTATGGTCCCCAATCAGAGACAACGAGCGGCCAACATAGAACTAGACATACTAGATCCTCATACATAGAACAAGCACAACAAGGAATATACACACCCTGACTCAACATATAAGCGTCCCCTGAGTCAGGGCATGACAAGATCAGAATACCATGAACCAAAAGGTTGAGTTCAAATCGCAGGTGAGGACATGTCGAATAACAATGACTGTATAAATGCACAATGTAATCATTCATGTCTAATATCTGAGTTGAAAACATTGTTGCGCAGTTTGTTTTTGTTAAGATGCCCAAATAATAGTTGAATGAACATATGAGATGAGTTGAACAAACAGTGTTAGTACCGTGTGCTACCAATTATCTGAGTTAGGATTACAGAGATGCTACAGTACAGACTTGATGAAAATGTGTTTTAATAACATTGCAACAAAGTAAATGCATTTTTCAACACTTTTGTTGTGTGTGCATTTCCAGTAGTGGAATGTCATTCACCCAATCAAACCGTAATTATTAACTCACATTCATTTTTGCATCACACTAGGCAACATCAACATCATCCTAAAGACATGAAATAATTGTCTCCTGCACCATATCTCCCCCAAACCAGCACAATGCAGTACACAAACCGATAACACTTTATTTGGATAGTCCCAAGTAGATGGTTTGTAGATGTTCAGTAGATGGTTTGGAGATGTTCAGTAGATGTTCAGTAGATATTCAATAAGTGTCAACAACATTTCAACGAACTATCAACTAAACTTAACCCTAACCCTAACCCTAACCTTAACCCTAACCCTAACCCTAACCCTTATTCTAAACCTAACCCTAACCGTAACCTTAGCAAGCAGTTGTTTGTTGACAATATGACCATCTGTAGATCATCTATATGGGACTATCAGAATAAAGTGCGACCCACAAACCCAATCAATTCATGTAGTAGGCTACATGTCCATGTGTTGTCCTTCTCTGGGGCGATGCCATGTCATGTTGGACGTCTTCCTGGCTCAATGTTGGCACTGATCTCTGTGATAGATGCAGCGGCAGCATCATTGCTCGCAGGATACTCCTCCGCCCAATCAGAATAAACACCCTGTCTTGTCCTCGGGTCCTGACAGCGTAATAACGGTATGATTGTGAAGTCCCTCGTCATCCATAACGAGCTGTGTGCCGAGCTTAATGAGCCCCATGTAAATGAGAATGGATACACACATACACCAAAGCAGGTAGGCAGGCGCGCACACACACACACACACACACACACACACATACACACTGACATTGGGCCACTCCAGGCGACTGAAAGTGGGGGCTTCAGTGCCAGTCAATATCCCAGCTGTAATCACAACGCACTGCCCACTCAGCCACTCACTGTGTGTGTGTGTGTGTTTGTGTGTGTGTGTGTGTGTGTGTGTGTGTGTGTGTGTGTGTGTGTGTGGACATGACCTACAGATCAGATCCTTTCAAGGCTACCCAGACGCGCCCTATGACGATTTCACCTTGTCCACCCGCTACACCCCCCCCCCCCCCCCTTCCATCCATGTGTCACGTACTCGGTGTCACATCGAGGAGCACGTTTGCAAGGAACAACTAGCAGAGAGCTGCAAGACGAAAACACACGGAGATCACAGAAGCAAGCACAAATACACGTACACACCTAAACTGCAGAGCTGTCAGCTGCTTCAGCTTTTACCACACAAACACAGAGCAAGAGGCAATACCTATCTCCATAGGGGTCCAGCCAAAGGAAGAAAAAAAAACCAATGGTGGCTAACATGAAAGAGATGAGGATTCTCCTAAAACAGCATCTGAAAACTGATATCATAAGCAGATTTCCCCTTAAGGAGATTAGGTGGGACACAGGAGCCAGCTCACTGTGTGCAGTACAGGCTGTGAGTCTTAATTCAATATACAGGAAAGCTCCCAGTCTGAGGTCTCAGTGTTATTATTGACGTTGCATTAACTGTGGAGTTTGATGTCGCAGCTCCAGACACTCCAATGAAGAAAACAGCAAGACAGGGATTTAATCAAAGGTGCATTGTACTGGCAATTTCCCTGATGTTCGCTGAGATCACATTCACATTAAACGCTGCGGATGTCGGCTCAAGCGTAAATGACCTTTTGTCGAGTGCGGTGCGCTTGTCAACAATGCAAGTAGAGCTGCTGTGCTTGTATGGGTAGGCATTGGCAAAAAAATCTACTGTTTTTTTAGGAGGGTGGTTTTGGGCAAATTCCACAATCCTTTAGATCTTATTTCAAAACATTTCTCGTCAGCTCCCACTAGTACTTCAAGTTAGTTGTGGAAACGTTGTCCAGGCCTGACTTCCAGATAGTTCCAGATGGATAAGATCAGTCGATTGGGAGGCAATCAGGCAAAGTGGCAGACAGCAGTGTTCTACTGCAGTGCTTCATGTGCAAAAAAGGAGGCCTGATTCTGACTCTAACCTGCTCTGAAGTTTCCTACCACCAGGCTAAGCTCTCCCTCTCTGTCTGTCTGTGTCTGCGTTTCCTAGGTATTCTCTGGGATCTTCACCGCTGAGATGGTCTTAAAGATCATCGCTCTGGATCCATACTACTATTTCCAGCAAGGTTGGAACATCTTTGACAGCATCATCGTGTGCCTAAGCCTGATGGAGCTGGGTCTATCTGAGGTGGAGGGACTGTCCGTTCTCCGGTCCTTCAGACTGGTATTTAACCATTGAACATGTCGCCACACGGGCCTATCTGTGTCTCTGTGTGCTGTCTGTCTCTCTGTGTGTTTGTAGATGATGGTTGTCTGGAAATTGATATGTTGCTGGCTGCACTGTTTGACAGTGTGACTGGTTAGGTCTCTCTCCCAATGATACTGTACATGTATGCCAACTGTAAGTCCCCCTAACTGTGAGACCATTGGCAAGTCCTTCTCAACAGTTACTAAAGCAGCCTGAGTTATGTAACCTCTTTTTACTACCACATCCCATTGACAGAATGATTTGAATTGTAGTCAGTAGCCACTTCTTTATTTAGAAATGTGAAACGTGGGCCTCCCGAGTGGCGCAGTGGTCTAAGACACTGCATCGCAGTGTTGCTGCGTCACTACAGCCTGGGGTTCGATCCTGTGTCATTACTGGCCGGGACCGGGCATCCCATAGGGCGGCGCACAATTGGCCCAGCGTCGTCCGGGTTTGGCCGGGTGGGCTTTACTTGGTTCATCGCGCTCTAGCAACTCCTTGTGGTGGGCCGGGCGCCTGCAGGCTGACTTCGGTCATAAGTTGAACGGTGTTTCCTCCGACACATTGGTGCAGCTGGCTTCCGGGTTAAGCGAGCGGGTGTTAAGAAGCGTGGTTTGGCGGGTCATGTTTCGCAGGACGCATGACTCGACCTTCGCCTCTCCCGAACCCATTGGGGAGTTGCAGCGATGAGACAAGATCATAATCACGAAAAGGGGGGGTAAAAATTACACACACAAAAAAAAGTGAAATGTGACTAATAGACATTTTATTAACTTTTAAAAGTTTAAACTTGAAGATGAGAATAGGATAAAGAAAAGGTGAATCTATCTCTAAATCTCTTGATTCAACTTCTAGTTAACATCCATTACTAAAGTCATTTCTCAGATAACTAACTCCCCCCCTCCCCCCACAGCTGAGGGTGTTCAAGCTGGCCAAGTCGTGGCCCACCCTCAACACGCTCATCAAGATCATCGGCAACTCTGTGGGCGCCCTGGGAAACCTGACCCTGGTCCTAGCCATCATAGTCTTCATCTTTGCCGTGGTGGGCATGCAGCTGTTCGGCAAGAACTACCAGGACTGTGTGTGTAAGATCTCCAGGGACTGTACGCTGCCGCGCTGGCACATGAAGGACTTCTTCCACTCGTTCCTCATCGTGTTCCGGGTGCTGTGTGGCGAGTGGATTGAGACCATGTGGGATTGTATGGAGGTGGCCGGGCAACCTCTCTGCATCCTGGTCTTCATGCTCGTCATGGTGATCGGGAACCTGGTGGTGAGTCAAACTAAGTCACTCAGTCTCTTTGGTCAGTGTGGGTTTATAAGGTCTGTCTAGGTCAAACTAAGTCACTCAGTCTCTTTGGTTAGGGTTGGTTTTAAATAGTTTAATAGCTTTTGAAGGAAAACTGCATTAGACACAAAACAATTTTTAGTCTGATTTAGTTTTGCCGTGTTGTTCATGCGACTTCTAGAGTTTGTGTAATTTCAGGGCTTATACCCAAGTTTGACATTACCAAGTGTCCTCAAAAAACATGGGGTGTTTGTTTGTGTGCATGTGTGGTGAGTGCCTCCTCTAGCTTTCTGCCCTTCCACTTGATCTCCCACCTACCAATGTCTCTCTACCTGCCATGGTTGGAGCTTTTTGCAGGGTGGGCAGGGGTGTAAAGGGGGTTGGGGGAAAGGAGGGAGGACGGGGGGGGGGGGCGAGCTAATCTCCATGAACTGTTTTGGTAGCGGTATCAAATCAAATAAAATTGTATTTGTTACATGCGACGAATACAACAGGTGTAGACCATACCGTGAAATGCTTACTTACAGCCCTTAACCAACAATGCAGTTCAAGAAAAAGAGCTAAGAAAATATTTCCTAAATAAACAAAGTAAAAAATAAAATAAAAAGTAACAATTAGATTACATAACAACAACGAGGCTATATACAGGGGGTACCCGGTACCGAGTCAACACGATCCTAATGGTGGCCCTCGTCGAACTCGAACCCACCACCCACTACTGTGTCCAGAGCTGCAGTGGGTCGGTGGAGGGGAGTAAGGGCAGGTTGCAATAAAATGATCCCCCCCCCCCCTCCCCCTCCCCTCCCCTTCCCCACAAAGCTCACATGTTCCCGATACGGGGCCTGATTCAGTTTCACAAAGACGCATGCCTGGCAGTGGCTAGCCTTGTTAGCCTCGGCAAAAAGAACACAAAGGAATGAAATGGTGTAATGTCACAGGGTTCTGTTTTGTGACCACTTTGTGTCCCTTAGAAAAGGACTGTTGCTCCACATGTGTAGTAATTAAAAGACACCCCTAACATTCTATAATGTCCTATAATGGAGCCATTTATTGAACACCAGTAGTGTTGAGCTTTGGGCCAGGTCAGGGGTTCAGCTGGTGAATTCTAACAGTGTTAATGAAGGAAACAGGGTCCTGGGCCCAAGTTGGTCTAGATAGCATTTGTCAAAGAAGCCTATGCAGTGTTGCTGCTGTTTTGTCGATGACTTTAGAGCTGACTTCAGCAGTTTTGCTAGATCATGGGGATATCTGCACACTTACAAGGTTGTCTTCCTTGACTGTTTTTCTGCTCTCTGTATCTCTCTCTCTCTCTCTCTCTCTCTCTCTCTCTCTCTCGCTCTCTCTCTCTCTCATTATATCTATCTCTCTCTCTCTCTGTGCTGGCAGACCTAATGCCATCTCCTTAAGGCTGTCATGGGTGAGGGGTTTTCCACACGAACTGACATGTAGACAGGTGTTGAAGTTTACACTGGCATTGTTGGGCAGCCCAATGCCATACTGAGGGTTACTGCATAAGTCTCCTACAGTATGTGTTAGGGTTGTTGAAATACAAAATGTCTCATGATTACCATGCGGGAAGTGAACCCACATCCTTGCCACTGCCCTACCCCAACCCACTGAGCCACTTAATTAGGGACTAAATTAGTCGAGGCCCTCTACTATATGGAGTGGTACTCAGCCTTCCCAGTATATCTCTCTATCTACTGTGTCCTCTCTGTCCTCAGTGGTGGCCTCTTTCACAACATGCACCACTACTGTTCCCATCCGCGGGGCAGGCGAGTGACGAAGCCTCAATTACCCAGCCAAATGTATCTGCTAATATTATCTTTCTCTGCGGGGTCGCCCCCAGTCCCTTAGTCAAGTCAGCGCCTGTCATTTGCTTACGTACTTGTGTCAGAGGCCCCGTCCCTCTCCTCCTCGCTTCTGCCTCCCTCCTCCGCCTCTCTCGACCTCGGCCTCCCCCATCCCTCCTCCCCCCTTCCCTCCTCCTCCTCCCCCCACCTCCTCTTCTCTCTCCCTCCTCCCTCCTTCCCTCCTTCTCCTCCCCCACCTCCTCTTCTCTCTCCCTCCTCCTCCTCCCTCCTCCTCCCCCACCTCCTCTTCGCTCTCTCCCTCCTCCTCCCTCATTCTCTACCTCCTCTTCTCTCTCTCCCTCCTCCTCCCTCCCCTGTCATATTTATTTTAGCTGAGCAGTCAAAGGAGGTCGGTTGAGACTTAGAGCTGCCTGGCCTGCGAGACCTTGTGTTGTGTAACATAACATGGCTGCCAGTGTCTCATCGGGAGGCTGACAAAATGTCTGATGTGGGAAGGCGTGTTAACAGATCCAGATCAACAAACGTCAACGTCAAAAGACGCGAGTCATACTGAGGTTCATTAGAAAATGAGCACTCTTCTAGGTATCCAAACCTGACCTCAAGTGATCTTCTGCCTCAGGTCCCTATTGTCTCAAGTGTTGTGAACCACTTCTCCTACATGGTACTCTGTGAACACTTCCCTCTCCTGCATGGTTCTCTGTGAACACTCCCCTCTCCTGCATGGTACTCTGTGAACACTGCTCTCTCCTGCATGGTACTCTGTGAACACTCCCCTCTCCTGCATGGTACTCTGTGAACACTCCCCTCTCCTGCATGGTACTCTGTGAACACTCCCCTCTCCTGCGGTACTCTGTTAACACTCACTCACCTAATCCGGCATGGATCTCTGTTGAACACTCCCCTCTCCTGCATGGTACTCTTTGAACACTCCCCTCTCCTGCATGGTACCTGTGAAAAAAACCTCCCCTCTCCTGCGGTACTGCTCTGTAACATCCCCTCTCATGCATGGTACTCGTGAACATCCCCTCTCCGCATGGTACTCTGTGAACACTCAGAGATAGAGATAGCGAGCGAGAGCAAGCCGAGAGAGGCGCACGGAGCCGAGATCTACGCGCTTTCGTCGAGCCGCTCATTCTCTCTCTCCCGCGCTCGCCGCTCTCTCCGTCGTCCTCTCTCACGCTCTCGTCTCCGCTCTTCACTCTCAGCTCTTATGAGCGAGATGGAGGTGAGAGAGAGAGCGCTCGCTTACTCTCTCTCGCTCTCCTCTCTCGCGCTTCGCTCTGTCTCTCCGCTCTCTCTCTCTCTCGCTCTCTCTCTCTGCTTTCTCCGTCTCTTGCGCTCATAGAGATCGGCTGATCTTCTCGCCCTCCTAAGAGAGTAAGGGGGGGAGGGGTTGAGAATCGTGAAGATCCATGACAATAGCATTCTCTAATCTACTGTTCTGGGAATCCTGTGAACGCGGTGTGTGTGCAGCACAAACACAGGTCATTACGCCACCGCCTGCCACTCTCATCCCCGGCAACAACGTTCAGAAGCAGGCAGCTTGTCAGCCTAACCCTACTCCCCTGCTCTCTAACATACTGCATGTGGGCCACGGCCAGTAAGGTTCAGGTATACTGTGTGGTCTTGGTTTGGGGGACTGAGTGAATATACAAATGTACGATCTTAATTTAAGCCAGTTTGATACAACAGGAATAGCAAACTGTAGCAACAGGAAATGTGAGTTATTATGTGGATTTTAATTAATGGACATTTTTTGTAGGGGTTGATAAACTTTTTGTTAGGGCAAATCAAGTCTGACATTTTAAAGTGGAAATTACAAACTTTAGAATCATTTTTAAACATCGAATACACTACAGTACAAGTTAGCATTTCTCAGAAACAAAAGAGTGATCAAATTAACATCCTACATTTGTACAGGGATAGTGGATAGTTATCACCTTTAATCATCTCGGTGGCCGTGTTACCTTACCAGCCTTGTACCTCTCGTCCCCTCAGCCTCTAACATGGAAAGGTTGTTTGGACCACAAACGGTGGAAACAGAAACGTGCCGTCAGTCGAGAGAGAGAGAGAGAGAGAGAGAGAGAAGAGAGAGAGAGAGAGACAGAAGAGAGAGAGAGAGAGAGAGAGAGTTGTGCACTTGTGTGAGTGTGTGTGTGGGAAGGGGGTTCACTAAACAGAGAGAGATGTGTGTGTGACTCATCACATACACTGCTGCTATTGTTTATTATCTATCCTGTTGCCTAGTCACATTACCCCTACCTATATGTACATACAGTATCTACTTCAATTACGTCTTACTCCTGCACATCGACTAGGTACTGGTTCCCTGTGTATATAGCCGTTATCATTACTCATTGTGTATTTATACATTTTTGGGTATTTAAGCATTTCACTGTTAGTCTACACCTGTTGTTTACGAAGCATGTGACAAGTAACATGTGATTGATTTGTCTGTCTGTGTCTGTGCGTGAGTGTCTGTGTGTGTGTATGTCCCTGTCTACTGGGCTTGGAGCCTCAATCAGCACAGCAGATGATGCGAGCGGATACGCTCCGGGTGCCTGCACCTGCAGGGGGCTGGTGCTAATCAGCATTATTCAAAGCAGAACGGACAGCCTGGTAACTGGAGAGGTGAAAGTAGGCCTGTTATCTGATGGGCAAGCCGAGTTTATAGCCTGGGTTGTGTATGTGTGTGTGCACGACCAGGGAAAAGGCTGGGTCAGGTTGCCATCAATCTCACACCATGTCCGCTGTACATGCAGGTTGGTTTTCTCTTAGCATCAGAGAGGCAAGACGTTCATCATTATGAAAACTGTTTAATTCTACAGTGGCTTGCAAAAGTATTCACCCCCTTGGCATTTTTCCTATTTTGTTGCCTTACAACCTGGAATTAAAATTGATTTTTGGGGGGGTTGTATAATTTAATTTACACAACATGCCTACCACTTTGAAGATGCAAAATATGTTTTTGGGTGAAACAAACAAGAAAACTTGAGCGTGCATAACTATTCACCCCCCCAAAGTCAATACTTTGTAGAGCCACCTTTAGCAGCAATTACAGCTGCAAGTCTCTTGGGGTATGTCTCTATAATCTTGGCACATCTAGCCACTGGGATTTTTGCCCATTCTTCAAGGCAAAACTGCTCCAGCTCCTTCAAGTTGGATGGGTTC